TGCACTGCCGACCCGCGTTCGTGCGGTCCACAACCGCGCCGCCACAGCTGGCTTCTTTGGCGCGCGTCGCCGCACTCTGGTTGCCGCACTCCCACGAGTACTCGTACGTCTCTATGATGGACGTTGTGAAGGATATCGAGCCAATACCTTTCGTGACGATCTCCTCGGGCTGAAGATTGCGGCACTCGGGCATGATGTACTCATAGTTGGACGAGTAGACGTAGTTGTGATCCGGGCTGGCGCAGTAAGAGTAGTATTCGCTCGAGCGGTTGAGAGTCGGCGCGAAGCCGTAGCGCCCTCCATCCTCCCACGCGTTCACCACGCCAAGCGGCCGCTCGCTAGCCGCCCACGAGTTTGAGGTGATGACGGTGGCGATGAAGGCAACTATAATGCCGGTCTGCAGAATCCGGTTGGTGAGGCCGACTTGCCAGATGTCGACGCGGACGTGGCGCGCGGTGCGGTAGTAGAGGTAGGGCTTGATGCGGTCGAACAGGCTCATCTAGGCAGCAGCTCGGCGGGTGGGCGCTCGGCTGCTCGGCGGGCGGTGGACTGCGGGACACCAGCAGCCGCTTTTTGAAAGAAGAATTTTCAGTGTATGTAGCTCTTACGAACATACCCGTAGGTGAACTGCTGACAGGGTTTGCGATGAGGAGCGATCCGAACGTGGTATTCGGGTGATCAGATCACTACCGCCGAAGCGCAAGCGCTTGGAGCAAGGGAACTGCCACGTATGGGTCCCAGACTAGCACCCCACCTCGCGGGCCGACGTTCTGGCCCAGCAAGGCTGCTGCGGAGCACTCGGGGCCGATGTTCTGGCCCAGCGAGGCCGCTGCGGGGCACCCGGCGGCTCGGTTCGCTCATCAGCGCAAACTCGGTCGAGCAGAAAGTAAGGTGTGTGTGTAAAGGCGGCGCGGCACGATAAGGGTCGGCGGTAAGGCGGCGCGGCGGCAGCAGGCGGCAGGCAGGACATCGGACGGCGGGACATACGGCGCGGCGGGCGCGGCACTGTAGGAGCGGCGGTACGGCGGCACGGCGGTAACGGACGGCAGGGGGGGCGGCAGCAATAATATCGTTGGCCGAAGCCTCGTTGGCCGAAGCCTCGGTGGCCGAAGCCTCGGTGGCAGAAGCCTCGGTGGCCGAAGCCTCGGTGGTCGAAGCCTCGGTGGCACGGAGGAAGGAGCGGCACGGTAAGGAACGGTGGCACGACGGCAGACCACAGCGGCGAAGGAACGGCGGAGCATTTCGGGCGGGAGGGTGAGGCGAGGGTGGCGGCGGTTCGGATCATGAGGAG